TGTGCAAAGAAGTCTAAGTGTGTGTATGAGTGATGTGCTGGAGGCTTCAGGGCTGTGCACGTGTGCTTGTGCAAGGTCATGGAGTGAACATGTGTGTGTAATGTGGTGATATTCCTTCAGGCAATAAATCTTTAAGTAGTCAACCATTTGTTTTGCCTTGGCTAAGAAAGGGAGTGAAGAGAATATGAGCTCAAGAGAGGGAGAAAGAGCCGAGAGAGAGGAAGCCACTGTTTTGTATGCTGGTGCTTGAGTTAAAGAAAGAAATTGGGAACAAAGAAGAAAGTAAAGGGTGACAAAGAGAAGACTCAAGAAATTCAACCATTAAAGAAAAAGGGTAAGGATTTCAATCTTGATTTTTTTTTTTAGATTCATTTTCTAGCAACTAAAATCAAGAAGTGAATGGGATTAATTCCATGAAAAGAGAAGGAAACTAGGGAGAAGAATAAAGAAATGGAATTAAGTTTATGACGAATGAAATTGATTTAGAAATTCATCCTTTGAGAATAATTTTGATTATTTTTGATGAATTTGAGCTCTAATTTTACATGCACCATTATTTTCCAAAAGTTTGATACTTCAACTTCATATAATTAGAAAGAATTACCAACAAAATTAAAGTAAGTTCGCTCGCGTGCTTCGCGCAGAGCCGATCGGAGCGAGCCGATGAGGGTCGGGTTCAGGCGATGCTCATCGTCGCCGGTGAGAGTCAAGAAGAAGATGTTGCCGCGCTTCTCTAACGTGCACATGGTGGTACAATGTTCCGTCGCTTTTTGGTTGGTGCGCAGTGTTATCAGAAGATAAAGAATTGGGATTTGGATACCCTGCGGCGAGCTCACATGAGACATCAGTTGAGTTGCTTGCTGCTAGGGCTTCGATGGGTGGTGGGGACCGTCGGATCATGAATCACAGCTGATCTTTAGGTGATGAATGTATAGCAACATAGCGGACCTTGTTAGTGAAACAATTCAAGGTATGTGTAAGGTATGTGTTGAAAAACTCCCGCGGGCAGCGAAGGCAAGGTTGCCGGCCGGCTGCCCGCCGGAAAGAAAGGAGTATAGGCCTAAATCTTATAGCTCTGATACCATGTTAAATTGATGTATGTATTATTGATTGATTTTGTTTTGTGTATTATGTATATTACAAGGATTCCTATTATATAGGAGAGGATTTGGGAGTAGGTGAGGAATAGGTGTAGGTGGTAGTGGAGGTGGTAGGTGGAGTGGGTGGTAGTGGAAGTGGTAGGTGGAGTGAGTGGTAGTGGTAATTTACATTTACACAATTTACATTAACAGTGTTTTTCAAAAATGAACATAGAGAACGGGAAATGTACCAAACAGTTTAAGTGCTTTGAGACTGACCAACTGATTTGATGAATTAATTGGTTGAGAATGTTTGGTGGACCTATTACTCGTCTATTGAGAAATTAAATGCATGTTGCAGGAGATGATTATTTGAAATTATATTGTATTTTACTTGATTATGTACAGGGGTGGAGGCATGTGAGGGCTCAAGGTCACGTGCCCCTCAATTTTTGGCAAATTATGCTTTTGTCTATTGTAAAATTAATTATTGTAATTTATACATTCCGTGTAATGTTATGAAATTTTTATATCACTATCTTTTTTTAATTTTTAAAAAAATATATATGTTTAATTTTTTACCTTAAATGTTTAATTATATTAAGAATTTCTTATATATTGTATATTAGAGAAATGTTATACATTAATGATTTCTATCACCTCTTATATGAATATTCATAATTAGTTCATTTGTTTATAAATAATTATTACATAATTAATAACAACTAATAAAATATTGCCATGCTATTCGGTGATTTAAAGCGGTGAAAAAAACAAATGATATATAACAGCCCGTATATATTATTTATTCACCATTTCTTTTATTTCTTTCTGTATCCCTCTCTATATCTCTCTTCGTGTGTGTATTTTTATATAATTTAATTGGTTAACTTGAGCTTATATTTAAATATAACTTTTTCATCACACTAGTTTTTAGTTGCTATCAAATAAAAATTAAGTTAAATTGGATTGTGAATTTTGTTAAGATTTTAATTTAGTGGTGCCTCTTCTGAGTTAAAACCTTGGCTCCACCACTGATTATATAACACGTTTAAAACTTGGTTAATACCTTGGTTTCTCTCTCTCTCTCTGGTGGTATAAAGGAGCTATCATCTAATAAATAGATTATAGTACTAGAAGTTCTGGCACCCAAAGTCAGTTGATTACTAATACAATAGGGTGCAGTATTGAAAAACTGAATCCCTAAATCAGTGCAATTATTTGCTTCCTGGTAACAATGGTAGACTCTGGTGATCCCCAGCTTGCTAATTAAGTACTGCAGTTAAGAATGATGTTATTGAACCTGTGATGAGTTGTGTTCTCTTTGGCTACTAGGTCAATGGCTAACTTGGCATCCACTTCCAGTACTAGATTCTTAATGTTTAGATCGTTTGCTAGAGTTGGCCCATTTCTTATGGCCCATATTTCTGCTTCAATAGCTGTGATATGCCCAATGTTTCTGCAGAACCCAGTGACCCATTGCCCAAGATGATCTCTAATGATACTGCCCCGATTGGCCTGGCGTGGTGTCACACACCAGCAATGCGGAAGCCTTGACAAAGATATGCAAGTGTGTGTGGCGCTAGTTAACTCTCTTCACTAGCCCGCCAATAAAGCTCAAAAGGTTTGTAAAGAGAAGCAAACACAATATTAGTTTAGTCGATGAGCCACAAGAATGGAGACAAGCCACAGAATAGCAATCAACAAGCCAAAATTAAAGTAAGCAACAATTGAAAGGCTTTGCACAATTTAAAGACAAAATGAACTTTTCATTGATCAAAAGAAGGCATTACAATAGTTGAACAATGCATCAAAAGTGCTACAAAAGTTGCCTTACCATAAGCTAGGTTGGGGTACTTTAAAGGCACAAGTGGTCTGATTCAACACTTGGGTACCCCCTCCTTAACATAGCTTGTTAAGCCTTTTCCTAGCTGACAGAAGGAAACATCCACTATGTTTGAGGAGTCATAATGGATTTTTAAAAATTCTACAAAAAGAGAAAAAATTACAACTCTTGGTCCCAAAACACCCTTAATACTAAGGTATTTACATAAAAATTTACAAGGCAGAAAGACTACATTTGACCCTCCAAAAGTTGGCTTAAAGTTGCTACTTGGGCAGGCAAGTCTGTGGCCAGCTGTGACTAGGTTGCTTCAAGGCATGCCTTGGGCTATCTTGCACCATGCCTTGGGCATTTGCTTGCACTTGCACCAACAACTTCTCGGGCATGATTTTGGCTTTTCAAAGGGAACAAATGAGTATGGCATCAAGGTGTTGACCCTTGGATGGGTGCACCTTGACACGTGATCCATATTTAGCTTGAAAGAGCTTGGTTCAGGGGCTGTCCATCTGACACTAGTTGTCTCCCGATTTGGTGTGTAGTGTTCTTGCCTTGTTAGGAAGCACCACTGAAGCACTTTGGCAAGAATGAGATGAGGTGCAGTGGATAGATAGGTTGGGAGAGATGAGGGATGATGAATGCCCAAAGACAGTTTTTTTCCCAAGGAGCCAGATGTTCTGGCAGGCAATAGGAAATATGATTGCCCAAGGAATGTCTGTCATGGACTGAATTAGATATGCAATTGGATTTGATCCATGCGTGGAGATTTGTATTAGGTCGGTTTGGAAGAGGTGTCCCCAGGTTGTTCCAATAGAGGAGGTAACATGGCTTACCGAAGGATCTGGTTGGGGTCCTCCGGAGCTGAGTGGCAGATGGGGCAAGAAGGGTTCGTACCAATGCCCTATGTGCTAAAAGTGACTTGGTGCTGATTTGGTTCAGTAGGTCAAGCCAATGGAAGTGGGGATCATTCTAGGGGTAGTCCAAGTTTTCCAAAGCCACACCCAGTTAGAAAAGGGGTAAGCTGGTTCGACCTTCTAGATTAAAGAAAGGGCCAATACACTGGAAAAGAGGCCGTTCGAAATTAGTTTCCACACAAGAGTGTCCTCCCCTGGCCTAAACCATTGAGGGGATGTGATTTCTCCTCCTTTATTGGTGCTGTTTCTGTTTACTTATAATAGAGTAGTAGAGTAAATGTCCGAGACTGAGGAAGTGAGAGTAAAAATTTGTATGTTTTTTTTTTAAAAAGATTGAATCAATTGAGGAAGTGAGTAAAATTTTTGTTATGCAATTGAAATTTAAATAACTCTTCATATGAAAATCATAGTATTCTAGCCAATTAGGACAACTCAATTAATTGTATATATATTATCTATAGAAATAAACTAAATCTACAATCCAAACTATTCTGAAGCACCTAACATTTGTTGCCCTACTACATGTGAGGGCCCTCATGAATACAAAAAAATAAAGCTACTGCCAAAATCATATTGATGGAATGTAGACATTGCCACTAGCAAAAATGGAAAAAGAAAACACAGTAATTTGAAAAAGTTTCAGCATTCCAGTATTAATATTGTCCTCCTCTAAAAGACAAATCATCCTGTTAAATAGAGTTATCATAGAAAATATAAGTTTTCCGGAAAAGATAGAGAAAATTTGAATCACTTCATTACAAAAATTTTAAAAATAAAATTATAGCATAGACTCATCTGGACATTTAAATGATCTCAAACTTCGAAGACATTGTCCAAACCACAAATCCCCCGGACACATATATGCGATCCCTCCATTCCACGTATACCAAGTAATTACTGCCTAAAACCTATAATTTCAAGGACATAGTTCCAAGACATGGCCTAGTGTCCTTTAGGTTACCTACACTTTAGGCTGCTATTGTATTTTCAAATGAATAAATAGAATGAAGTGTCATATACAATGAAAGTGCTCTATAAGCTTTCTCTGAATGCAGCAATTAATACATAAAAGTTCATAGCTTGTACAATCAGTTCCAATGCTATAACAATGGAATGAGGTTCGAAAATTTCCTAACAATTGTTATAGTTGGCAAATTTTGTTTATGGTAGTGCCCTTCAAGGAAGACTAAAGCCACCCAGGATATACAGAGACATGTATTAGTTGCCAAAGCACATTAAAGATTACCATATGATAGGGTTTCAAGTAACAACAATAACAAGTACATCAACTACAACACTGACAATAAGTACTGTTACAATCACATCCACACAAGACATTAAAACAGATAAAGCATCAAAGCAAATAAAAGCATCACATCCCAATGTTGTATTCAAAGAAATGAAGACAAGCAGAAATTAATACAAGAAAGAAATTAACGAACAAGCTATATATGAAGCTTCATATGATCAGTTTTGCTTGAAGACGATTTATTGGAATTTACAGCCACCAGTAGCAATAGTTCCTCAGCATGAGCTCCTAAACTCCATTGGATTGTCCCAGTCTTCCACAAAGTTTGTCACGACCTGTCACTCAAATGGTAATGATTACAGTTAATGTCAGATTAATTAATAAAATATGTTCATTAAGTGCCATGTTTCCGATTTTTAGTGAACCTATAATATTCATTCAAACTGTTTGTAATAGTAATAGTAAGCCTAGCCTTGTAATAGAAATTTGAAATTTGGACACATCTGTTGTAAGTAATAATTTGTTGTTTAGGTCTTACCACAAGGATGTTTATTTAATTAAACATTTGTAGTTTGATACTAGCTTTAAGGGTGTTAAAACGGAGCAAAATGTATACATAATTTGAGGATTCATCCCAAATTAACTTAAAATGGAATACTATAATAAATTAGGTCTAGTGATCACAATGCACGTATGGGAGATTGGTAAAATAAATATTTTTAAAAGAAAAAGTACAGATGCTCTATACGGTCTTAAATGGGAAAGGATATGAGAAATTACCTGGCTACTAAAAGTCCATCCCCAATTAGTGCAAATAGATCTTTAGCTAATTGATCCATCAAATCTTCACCACTTCCAAGTTCCTCGAAAGTAATGTTGGACTTTGATTCATTCCTATTTAATGCCTCCAACCACTCCTTCACTCCTTTGATCTTTGAAATAGTACTAGATATTTCTGTGGGATAAAGAATTTCAAGCTTTGGACAACCATAAACCATCAGAATTTTCAATATTGGATTGACAATTAGACCGCCTGAAATGGTGACCAATTTAGGTAGGTCAACAAGTGACATCCTCTTCAATCTTTGGAGAACATAACCAGATTTGAAGTTGGGAGATTCCTGAATAACTAGGCTCTTAATTTTGCAGCAGTCTTCAACTACAAGCTCTTCCAATTGCGACAAATTATTAAGCAAACTTGGTGTGAAAATGGTAGTCAAATTGGGGCACGTACGCAATGTCAAGGAACTCAGACATAATAGACTACCATTCTCAATTGGACCTTTCCAAATGCTTTGTAAATTCTTCATATGATGCATACCCAAGTAATTTAGCGATTCGAATACAAGTTCCTTAACAACACCCGATGGATATTTATAATTTCCATCAATAATGGTTTGAAGCTCATTGCATTCTACCAACAAACAAAATTTGAGTTAACCAGGTTTTCATTTTCGAAATCAGAAAGCATCTTGATAGTCCAATGGCGATCCAAGAAGAAAACAAGGGCACGGTTGAGAACCTCGGTAATTTCTGTTGGTTTTCCGTCACCATTTATATACTCAAGGCATTTCCTCCATTTGTTCCATTTCTTGAATCTCTCTTCAACTTCATGTGGTAGGCGGGATATGAGGCGTTGTCGGTGACAACTAACAATGAATCTAAATTCAAACCAATCTAGATACTTGAGTTCTGTGCCTTTCCATCTAAGTAGCTGTAATATTTCAACAGTTGGCAAATTCAACTCAAGGAATGTCAACTTTAATGCTTTACTTGGTTCATTGAGTATTGTTTTCACCTTAGCATCCCACCACTCATCATCTGGGCTCACATCAATGCTTAATTCTTCCAATTCAGAGAGTTTTGATAATGCCTTTGTTGGGATTATCAAGTCCATATAGCGGTTTGCACGGCCACAAAAAGAGACCTTGAAGCACATCAAACTAATTAGTTCACCAATTTCCTCGGGTAGGTACATAATTTCAGTTCCTTCAAGATCAAATATCTCAAGATTCCCAAGTACTCTGAGTTGGGGGGGCAGCTCCATGAGAAGTGCACAACCTCTCAAATTGAATGTTTGAAGTGATCTCAATCTGGAAATAGAAGGTGGCAAAGACTTTATGCTAGTATAGGACAAATCTAGAACTCCTAGGAGAGGCATGCTTTCAAAGAATAATTCAGGAATTTCCATCAGCTCATAGTTGTTATGTAAAAGCAGTTTTTGGAGAAATGGGCACTTGGGGTTCTCCGGTAGCTCAGACAATTTATTATTCATCAACTCAATCTCCTTGAGAGTGGTCCATTTTTCAACCTTTGGTGTCTCAGTCAATCCTAATCCCCATTGCCTTAGAAAAAGACTCGGTATAAATAATTTCTGCAGGACAATTTTAGTTTCATCCCACATTCGGACATAATTGTTGCCAACCTTCTCTAGCAAGAAGGAATTGATGAGTTCTCCAAGAAGAACATTTCATTCTTTCGGTGTTTCTACTAAATCATCCTTGATCCAATTTAATACTAGTGAATGTGTGCTCCATTGTTGTAGAAGTGCACAGTTTTTTATGCAATGTTTTGTTATAATGTCCTTCTGATCCCAAATGAGTTTTAACACATGAACCATGACTTCACTTATTCCTTCTTCAACTTGCTCGAGGGAGGAATGTGATGTTAATTCGTGGAGTGCAACGTCCCACACACCAATATCAGTCACACCTTTCAAGGCCCTCGCAAGAAGAATGATGGCAAGTAGGTTGCCGTGGCACTCTTTCACTAAATGGATAGCCATTTGTTGGATAACAGAAGAAGTATGAACAAGTGATGGCCCCACATTCCTACAGAATAGTTCCCAGGGTAACAGATGGTCCTCCATTCTGATCTCCAGATCCAAATCCATTATCTCAGACTTTGTGATCGAGTTGTAAGCACTAGTACAAATCCACAATTGGGGATACCTAAGTCATGTAGATCAATCTGCCCATCATCAGTACAATCCACCAACAAGAAGAAGTCTCTAGGTAGATAACAACTTAATATATTTGGATCTGTGAAAATCTCATCAGCTTCCTTATATCCGCGAATCTGTTCTGCAATGCTCTGCCTAATATCTTTGGTGCTGTGATGTCGTGAGACAGAGATGCAGAGGACAACACTGCACTGGTCTCTGACCATTTGCATATCCTTTAATGCGCTTGCTACTTTCTCCCCTCCGAGCCCTGAAATCCCAATCTTTTGAACAATTCCAACATTTCATCTGGCACTTTTGCTTCTTCAAATGTTGTACAACCTGCGCTTTCGCTATGTGTTGTTAGCCCAACCTCAATTCTTCGTGTCAAACTCTCATCTAGCCTTATAATAGTGGTATCAGCTTCTTTATTAGGTAAATAAGCCAACATATCAAAATCAAATTCGGCCAAAGTTCTTTCAGTATTGTTTAATTTGCTCTTAATCTGCTGCATTATGATTTTGTTACTTACTTTATTTGAATATTTGTCGGAAACATCATTGTTTGATGGCGAAGCCTGTAGTCTTCTTACGTCTTGTTGAATAGAGGAAACACTTTTATTGCCAAATGAGAATCGAAAGGGCTTTGCTTCTGGTTTGATAGGGTATGATAAGAGAAGGTGTAGGAAGTCTTTCTTCCTTGTCAAAAACTCAAATTTTGTTCTCATCTCTTCCCTTCTCTCTTTCTCTATACATATGGCGAGGCTTCCCGTTGAGGTACTTTTGATATTTCTCTTTCAAGTAGGCTGCTGGCTTTCAGCTTAAGAGCCATTAATTCTTTTCCTTTTTGTTCTTCTTCTTCTTCTTCTTTAGAGGACGACAACTTCCGAGTTGTTGACTTCTTCTGTGAATCTAATAAATGTGCATACACAGTACTATGCTCGGATGAGCCGCCTTCCTGGTCAACATCCTCCATCCCCAACCAGCCAACTTTTAGCCTGAAAACTGCAAAATACATTTGATAAATTCATTAGTAATACAAGGAGAATTCCCTATCAAATGAAGTTAAATTTGTAAACTATTTTTGTGAAGAAGTCCTCGACTCTTAAATGTAGTGTATTATACAAATATATTTCCACTAGAACGAATGTCTCATACTCTCTTTAAATTAGATTTATTATCAATTTTCTCTTAAAAATAATAATTAAATTAGAAGAAAAATTAATAACATAAAATTAAAAGTAATTCGAACTATTTAATTTTATTTTTTATTCATTTAGAAAATAAAAATATATAGAAATAGAATTTACATAAAATTTATTTAAAAAATTAAATCAAAATAGGGTAAATTACACTAACATGCCCTAAGGTTGAGTTTAATACAAAATCCCTTCACATTTTAGAAATTACATCTCCTTCTTAAGAATAATAGTCACATTACATATTGTCCCCTCCGTTAGTGTGCCGTTAGTAAGGTTAAAAGATTGGGATGATATCACCTATAGTATTTTACAAAATGCCGATTTTACCCTTAGATTCATAGACTCAATCTTTCCATCTTCCATCTTTTTCATCATTTTCATCTCTCTGCAAATGGGTCCAAAACCCCCACTGTCACACTAACCCACTCTACCATCTTCCACTTTCTTCGTGTCTCTTCCCTCCACCATCACTACACTATCACAACACTATTAAAACATCAGTCCCCTTTCTTCCACCATCATGACACCACTGTGACATCACTAAACATTAATCCAAGTAGACTTGTTGGTATGTAAAATGGCTGGCCTCAAAATTTATCCAATATGTATAAATATATATATTTACATCCTTTCTCTCATTATTTATACATACAGTAATTCAATACGGCTCGATAAAAACACGGAAATCATAAAAAAAAATGAAATGCATTGTATAAGAATTCACCATTATAATTCACAAGAATCATCGTTTGTTACGCCCCAAGCCCCATGACAATACCGCACACTCATCCAAGTGAGCATACAAGGCTAAGAGTCCAATCAAAAAAACCAACAGTATAAAATACTCAATTTAAATCTTTAATTATCATAATACCAAAATCCATAAAACTAAATGATTCTTATCATATGAAATTGTCCACTAAGTCCACTAATATAGTCCACTAACAAAATAGTAACTTAAAATCATAGTCCTATTCTCGGCACTCCCACATGTACAAAACCCGCGCAGCTCTACTCCTCAGAATTTGAAAAAAATAAAATAAAATAAGGGTAAGCTAGATTCTAGATAGCCCATCAAATAACCAACCATCATTGCTAGCTGAATCAAGTATATACAAAATAAAAAAATAGTCAATAACTAATGAATATAATTTTGCTACAATTCAATAAATGAACAATTATTTTGTAAGATGGTTTCATAAATAAAAATAAATAATGTACAATACATTTCAATTGAAAAGACAACAAAATAATTCAAAATAATTTTGTTATTCAAATCGATGGTTCGATATTCAGATAGTTCAATGATTCGATTCACAAGACTCAAGTCTTGACGATTACGGTCATTTAGCCCGTGACAAGGCCCAAAACCACACATAAGCCGGTGGTAAAACCACAAAAGAAACTAGTTTCTATGCCAATAAATGACCCCCATTGGCTAGGATCCAAATCATAGTCAGACTAGAGTGATGTTTAAAATTCAAACAATACACATCTTTTAAATAAAATATTCAATATTTTCAAAATAAACATTTGGTACAATTTTTAGAATAGTTTTACAAAATATTCAAACAATTTTCATAATAATATCCGATGGTGTTTATAATTGACCCATATTTTATTTTAAGAGAATAGGAAGCCTACAAATAAATATTTATAATTTCAAACGATTCAATAGGAATAAAAATGAACCAACGGTGATATAGAGGGTTACTTACCCACAAACAGCTAAAATAATATTCCAACACTAACTCCAAACACCCAGCTCCACCACTTCAATCACACAAACCTAATACATAAAACCTCACATAAAATAATATTTTACGTGTTTCATACACTCACAAAAGTCCCACCATATTAGTTTAATGTATTGCTTTAATATCCAAGTGATACCAAACCATTCAACCCAACTTTATAGCCAAACACACCCTTACCCATCCCATGATACAAAACTCCATTGGCTAGCTACACCCACACACATTCTGCTTTACCACTGTTTCTACTACCCGCCCAAAGCTACACTCTTCCACGTTGCACCCAAACACCCAATTCTCAAACCTAGGCAGGCACGATCTTTCAAATCCCCATAATGCATTGATTGTTTAATTTCTCAAAAAAAATAATAATAATAATAATAATAATAATTAGCAGTACAAGAAAATTTTTACCTCAACCAGTGGTGTCCAAACATCACTAGTTTTGAGCCTTCAATTCTCTACCGCAGTCTCTCTCCCGAATCCTCTGTAAAATTGTGATACATAACGTGAAAACCCTTTTTTTTTTAAAAGGTTAAAAACCTAATTCTTAAAATTACTAAATTACTCATACAATTTATTTTAATTATTGACCTATCCAAAAATAATTCTATACACAACTTGGGTTTTACATCATTGCAGCACCACAAATAATCAAAGAAGCATTTCCACCACAACCTCACTAATGGAATAATAAAATTAGTTCTTTGAAGCAATTAATCAAACATGTATTGTGCATACACCTGCTACTACCTCACTAATTCAAGAATCAAACTATTCACTTGCTTTTTGAAGAGTCTATCAAGATGGTCTCCATCCATCATCAAACTACCAAAAGTCGCAAGTGTCAATTTCCATATTTTCCCAGTTTGGTACTCAAGAAATGTTGGATAGTGTAGAGTTTCTTCTCTGCAATGACGAATATGGTGGAGACTTTGGGTCCCTGGTCTTGATCTGTGGAGATCATCTCTGGTTGCCTCCAAGTCGGAGTGTCTGGCATTAATTATACTCTATTTAATTTTAAAATTCTATTTTGATGATCATGGTCGTTTATGGGGAGGGGGAAGATGTTGATGGTGAAAGTGGTGCGTGGGTTGAGGGTAGAAGGGGAAAAAGTGGCAGTGAGTGGTTTATGGTTTGCCCTTTTTTTTTTTTCCCCTCTCAGACCAGGACTTTGTCATCCATGGTAAAATTTGAGACTCTAGGGATTTGGATGTTGATGGGTTTGCTGGTTTTGGTGGAGACGAACTTGGTAACGTGATTGGGATTTGGGTGTTGATTTGGTAGAAGTGGTGGACCCTCTGAAATTCTGCAATGTGTTTGGTTTGTATTTGTAAAGTAGTTTTTGAGATAAAAAGTACGAAAATTTGTTTAATTTATCTTTTTTTTAGAAATAATTTTGAAAAATTATTTTTGGGAGAGAGTTTTAAAAAAAATGATTGATTTGATGTGAAAGTAGGTAATCAAACAAAATTTTGAAACAACAATGATTCATCCCACTAAAAATATCACCACTAATAGCACTAATGTATTAAAAAAGTAAAAAAAAAAGAAATACAACTCCAAGACCAAAACATCACATCATTAATGGCGGGACTCACTGCCACCTAATTAGTGGGAGCACTAATTAGTGCTCCCAAACATTTTTCATTTTGAAATTTATTTTGAAAAAATTTGTTTAGTTTAATTACTATTGAAAATTTGTTTATAGGGAACTTTTCTTAAAAATTTTTCTAAAAAACAAACCAAGCAAAGCCGGTAATTTTATTTTAAACTATAAGGGTAACAAGGCAATTTTACATTTTCTATTAACTCAGTTAAAAGGAAAATTCTGACAGTTAGTGCAGTGTAATTTTTAAAAGTTTGGGGAAAATTTTTTATTAAATCCAAACCTTGGGAGTGTTAGTATAATTTACCCATGTAAAATATATTGTAATTATATTATCATATAATGATTTTATATGATATATATTAAATTATAAGATTGTAAAATAAATACTCTCAATTAAATTAAAATATCAACTATATAAAATAAATTTAACAACGACTAATAAGAAAGAATCTCCTAACAACATCTAAACTCAAAAAGAAAAAATAAATGAAAACATCGAAACGATAGATACATCTTAGTGTGTAAAGTGAAGAATCATCTGTAATATGATATCAAAACATAGAAAAACTTACTTTTCAGCAATTGAAAAAGTAACTCAAGTAGTAAATCCAAATTTGAGAGTATCAT